GCTGGTTACGCTGGATACGCTGGTTACGCTGGTTACGCCGATTACGCTGGTTACGCCGATTAAGCGGATTACGCCGATTACGCTGGTTACACTGGTTACGCTGGCTACGCTGATTACGCTGATTACGCTGATTACGGTGTATAGACGGTGTAAACGGTGTAAACGGTTAGACGGTGTAAACGGTGTAGACTGTGTAGACGGTGTAAACGGTGTAAACGGTGTAGACGGTGTAAACGGTGTAAACGGTGTAAGGGGTGTAAACGGTGTAGACGGTGTAAACGGTGTAGACGGTGTAGACGGTGTAAACGGTGTAAACGGTGTAGACAGTGTAAACGGTGTAGACGGTGTAAACGGTGTAAACGGTGTACACGGTGTAAACAGTGTAAACGGTGTAGACGGTGTAGACGGTGTAAACGGTGTAAACGGTGTAGACGGTGTAAACGGTGTAAACGGTGTAGACGGTGTAGAAGGTGTACACGGTGTAAACGGTGTAAACGGTGTAGATGGTGTAGACAGTGTAAACGGTGTAGACGGTGTAAACGGTGTAGACAGTGTAAACGGTGTAAACGGTGTAGACGGTGTAAACGGTGTAAACGGTGTAGACGGTGTAAACGGTGTAAACGGTGTAAACGGTGTAGACGTTGTAAACGGTGTTAACGGTGTAAACGGTGTAGACAGTGTAAACGGTGTAAACGGTGTAGACGGTGTAGACGGTGTAAACGGTGTAAACGGTGTAGACGGTGTAGACGGTGTAAACGGTGTAAACGGTGTAGACGGTGTAAACGGTGTAAACGGTGTAAACGGTGTAGACGGTGTAGAAGGTGTACACGGTGTAAACGGTGTAAACGGTGTAGATGGTGTAGACGGTGTAAACGGTGTAGACGGTGTAAACGGTGTAAACGGTGTAGACGGTGTAAACGGTGTAAACGGTGTAGACGGTGTAAACGGTGTACCGAAAAATCGTGGACACTGATTGCGCCAGCAATGTTTTTCTTGCAGCCTTAGGGCCATGGCGCGCGTGCCCCCAACAGTGAACCCAGCGACAGTTGGTGAGGCCGATTTCGGCCCGATCTTGGGGTCAGATCTGGAACCTCTCCTCGCCGCTCGTGCATAACTCAAGAAAAGACAAAAACACACACACCACACACTATTTGCACGCTGTACACCACTTGCATGATCCGTTTCAATAAAGCTCCCGTTTTGGTTGACTGGTCGACCTTGAATGGTTTGGGACTGGACCTCGGACATGGGACCGCTCGCAACAGCATTGGGCCGGAATCGCTTTGCGTGCGCGTGATCGCCAGTGTCCAGGTCGAAGAACCCTTGATCACCGAGGGCCGCCCTGATCATCCTAGGTATTTGAAGTGGTCTGGCCCCACGATTCTCCTCTACCAGTTGCCCGGATAGGGGACAAAGAGCCCAACGCATTACATGCTGTTCAATGGGTACGGGCAAAGTTCAAATCCCTGGACACTCTTGAGCCATTGTGACCTGACCCAAATTTTCCTTTGAATGACCTGTGGCTCAATAGTGTACCTTCCCGTCCTACCCAGGCTTGTGTGGTAGCCCTACTTGTCCAACTGGCTTCGCCAAACTCCAGTCATGGAGCCATACTGTATCATACTGTATCACTGTATCTATATATATATATGACTCATGGCCATATATATATATATATATTATATGGACCCTTGAAAGTACCTTAGAAAGTGGGAGATGAGCCATCATGAAGATCATGACCAACAAATTACAACACAACCTCAAAAAGAATCCCATGAACACGTACTTTCATGTACTTTCCCAATGAGTGAAAAACACCCAAAGCATCCTACATCTGGTTTTGTGGTTTGCACCCTGTAGCCTGTAGACGGAGAATTCTACCCGTGGAGTCGACATTCCAAAGACCAACCCAGTGGCTTTTACGCAAATCCATGTTCAGGCAGGGAGCAACGGGAGTAACTGATGTATACTCTCCGAAATCAGCAACACCTGCCCTGCCATCCCATGTCTCATGAACAACTGCCTCATTCTGCCTCTTCGTGCCGGACCGGAAAATGGATCACGCCACACCGATGTGTCGGCCGCGAGGGCGATGCGTGGAACGTTCCACGCCTCGCATTTGATGCATCAGGGTGGTGCCTTCCCAAAAGCGCTGCAAAGCCTGGCGATGCGTTGTCGGTCGTCGAGTCGAGCGGCGTCCAGGTCTTGCCACATGAAGGTTAAAGACCACGAGGACCCCTTGTGGACGGCTTGTGGCCCCTGCGGGATGGGGACAAGGGCACCCCTGGCTTTTTGTGCCCCCCACACACAGCCTAGGGATCCAAGTACCTTCTCAGGTACGGTAATTGGTACAGTGATGTAGGTTTGAAGGGTCCAGTCGTACCTTCTGAGGTTCGGTATGACTGGATGCCCGATCGGGGCAGAACATCACACAAACCACCGGAATTGGACTCCAAAAACGTCACCTGGATGAAGCGTCCGGCCACCGATCGACTCCTGGAGCGTCCGCTCGACGAGGATGGAACGGGAGCGGAAGCGGCGGAACGGCCGCGGAAAGTGCCCGATGAGAGGGAGTAGATCCTCTCGAAGTGTCACGACAGCTCGAACTCCAAAGGGAAAGGAGAGATGGTCTTCTGGGCTGCTGATAACACCCTCCATTTAGGATTGACAAACTCCTGAGGGGGGTTATTCATCAAAGATCCTACCTTAGGCTTGAGCTTGTGAAGGTGCGTGACCATCTGGCCGTTTCGGTCATGAGGTCGCTGGGATTTGTGGACTCCCCACAGCACCACGCGCATCTTTTTGGGTCCTGAAGAAAGGCGGTCGATGGTCGATGGTCCGTTCACGACCTGACTCCGGTGCCCCTGCCTTGTGGAAAGCGCATTTGGGTGGACAAACATGGGTACCTCTTCTGATGCCTTCTATAAGCACCCTCGTGTTCTTTTCCTCCCGCTGGGGCACCCTATTCCGTCGGCACTGAGTTTTTGAGGCCTTTCCAGGCACGAACCGGTGGGGTGACGAGGCTCGTCACCTCGAGTCGCTCACTTTAGGGCAAGTTGAGAGGGTCCACGTAGGTGCCCACTTCGTTGTTCTTCTCCCAGGCTTTCACCTCCGCTTCGCCGAGTGGTTCGCCGATGTCGGACTCATCCGTGGGCAGAAACACACGGCAACTCGACACACGAAGAAGGCCGACACCGTGAAAACCAGCTGTTTTACGGCATGCAATGTAAAACATGAAAATGAAAAGAGGCAGGAGCTTCACTTCTGCAAACATGCTCATGACAGTCTTGACATGTCTGGGGGTATGATCACTGGATGTGATATTCACTGCTGACTTGCTGCACAAGATCTGCCAAAAGCCAGGTGTCTGCACGAAAGAGACCACAAGAGACAGTCTCTAGCACTATAGTAACTAGCAAATGATCCGACATGATCCGACCAACATCTCTTTTCTCTAACTGAACATCTCCACGCAATGGATGTGTTTTGAGCTGAATGTTCTCGTTTATTCTACTGTATATTATATGAGCCAATATTGGGTCAATCCTAATACCAGTATGAGTGGATGATGATGATTAGCAAAGGCCTTCCTCTAAAATAGTGACAATTGCTTACCGACTGTTGCAGGTAATAGGACAACCGCCAAGTCTATATGTCACTACTTTCTATATTTCATTACTTGCTACTAGTAACAAGAAGTTACTAGAGGCTCCTGGCCTTACTCCTAGTAACAAAAAGCTACTAGGGGCTTCTGGCCTTACTACCAGTAACAAAAAGCTAGCTCCTAGCCTTTCTACTAGTAACAAAAGCTACTAGTAACAAAGGGCATCGCTACTAGGAGATCTAGGAGCAAGGACGCTACGAACGTAGCTCGCAAATTGGGCTCCATGAGGCCGTCGGAATGGTACACCAGAACCGCACGAAAAGAGTAGAGGCGGTCGATGTGACCTGTGTCAGTTCGTAAAATGTTGCATCCCTAAAGGATCCTTGCTGGAGCAACTATGGCCTACATTTGGCAGTTGATTTTGGGTGAAATGTTGGTCATATTTGCCTAAGCGGATCGTCTGGGATCTTAGATTTTCACATTGAGGAGAGGACCTTCAAGTTGGTGCGGATATAAAAGGTGAAACATGCAGTATAGTAGCTTCTTGCTACTCGTAACAACTGCATGACTACTGGTAACAAGTGCATTACTAATTACTAGTAGCAAAAAGCTACTACAGTAGTAGCTTCTTGCTACTAGTAGCGATGCCCTTGTTCCTAGTAGCGATGCCCTGGCTACTCGCTAAACGCGAAGCAAGCGGGCCACACCCCATCCATGGCCAAACAGCGGGGAGGAGTCCCTCGGCTCGCCTCGTCATAGGGGCGGGCCAGCCAGCGGCGGAAGTTCAATTTCTTCTGAGTGCCTGGCGATCAGGTCACCATCGGTCCTTCCGATCACCGCTGATGATGTGCTCGACACTTGAACGTCTAAGCGATTTCGATTTCGGCTCCAGTTGTACCGATGGTGGATTGATGTGGATTTGATTCATCAACAGCCCACCCGGAGTCTCAATGTACCTCAGAAAATGCGTACAAGATAATAGTACAAGTACCTGTCTTTCTAGGTTGAGACCCTCATGTCCCATTTTCAAGGGCACTTGAAGTCAGAAGTGTCTATACCTCCACCTGCCCGTTTTTTCAACGTGCCGAGCTGCGATGGATCACCTTCGGTTCACGACCCTGGCGCAGTTGGGTGGCCAGGCGTCGGCTCATGCGCTGCTTGGCCTTCCTGGCTGATTGGAGGGACCGCCCACCCTATGGGAAAACATGGAACTTGGCCACAAGTGGCAAAGGTGAGAATATGTGCCAGGGGTCACAAAGGGGTGCCTATTGGAGGATAGGGGTGCCCATTATCAACTCACTTAGGGACTAAAAACCACCCCTTTGTGACCCCTGGTGAGAATACTTGTTGAGAATACTTGTTTGAATGGTTGGTGAAGGCGAGAATAGCGGGCGATTGGCTGCTAGCTTGACCCCCATGAATAGCAATGCATGCCGCATGCCTCAGCAAAAATGTATTCTATAGATACGTGATGATACGTGGAGTGAGTGTCCATTCTTAGCAGCAAACGCTGCCAAGACTAGGCAAAGGTCTTCGAATAGCGCGACTTGCGACACTGTCCAAGCCACAGCTCACGTTAAGCAGTGGAAAAATCTTCGAATAACATCCGGAAACTGGGGTCATGCTGAGCCACCGCTCTTTAAAGCACCTGGAGGCTCAAAGAACCTCCGAAAATAGGGTACGGATCTACCTCTACCTGGCTCTTTTTAAAACAGCATAAAATAGCTACTAGATGCTATTAGGTTATGTCGACATGTCATGTCCCATTTTGTCTCGGGTACGTTGGAATGGTGCAGGCACGTATGAGCTCCAAAAAGGTCAAAAAGAGTTGATCTCTTTCATGAACAATTAGAAGTTCACTTCTGCATCTCGCAGGCCAACTAGGTCACACCTGCCCATTCCTCCCCACGTCACTGGGGTTCCTCCCCACGTCCGACGTCAGGACATGCGGACGTCGCTCACGTCCCATCCCTGCCAAGCGTCTTGAGGCGGTTCAAGGTCTTACGGCCCGGCCGGGGGGGGCGGTCTCGCACGGCGTAGATGTAGGAGTTCAAGCGCATCCGGAGGGCTTCGATGCGGTACACGTGGCGGATCTTCAGCTCCTAGCCGTGTTTGCACGGGCACTATATAGTAACAAGAAGCAACTAGGGGCTCCTGGCCTTACTACTAGGAGCAAGGACGCTACTAGGGGCTCCTGGCATCGCTACTAGGAGCATTCTTAATTACTACTAGTAACAAGAAGCAATGTTGGGATGACACCGGTGTTGGAGGTCGGATCTCTTCGCGAAACAGTCCCACACACGGCATGATGCCGTGGGGCTGGCTAAACGATTGATGACGCGTTGCGGGAGAAAAAACCAACCGGAGTCAGTACTGTAGGGGTTGAATATCAAATCAATCAATCAATCAAGCAATCAATCAGGTTCACCTGTTTTCAGCTCAGGATAGCTCCTCACGGATCTTCATGTAGGACTCCAAGTTGGACACCGACAACTTGTCCAACATGCGCCGGCGCGCACACACCAAGCCTCAGCAACGCTGAGCCCAAGCAACAAAATGCCACACATGATGTTTGCATATACGTTTGCAGGGAAAGTGGCGGGCAACTGCTCTGATGGTCTTCAGATCCCTTTCACGAAGAACCACGTTCAAGCAAAACATCGCAAAACGGACGCAACAATCTACACTCAAGGAACAACAACTCAAAATACCCTTATGGTGCAAGGGTTCTTCTCTTCAACGGGACACGCGTCCAGGGTCCAGCCGTGTTTTTTCGTTGGCTGGAGCCTCATGACCTCACATGGCGGGCGATGGCTGCATCGAGCCAACCACGAGCCTCGAGCTCGATATCGCCTGCGCAAGCCAAGCTGCTCCCCTGCAGACTCTGCAGACATTCACATGGAACCCCGAGACCACGTTGGGTTGTAGAGGAAGATGGTCTTGTAAACCGAACCATTCTCTGGTTCCATGTTCGTCGGGTTCGGGGCACGCGCTTGAGTTCCATCCAATGCCGGAATTTCTTCGAACACTGCACACTTCTAACATCTTCAAACCCTGACGGCTCGGTACCGCTTTTTTTTTTAATCCGTAGACTTAGACTCAATCAAGAGTCTACAGTCTACATTAGTGCCGTGTCCCCAATTCCGACGAGTTGAGTTGGGACAGTGCAGAGCCTTTCTGAAAAAACCCAAGCCCTGCCCAAGTCTTTCGCCAGACCCCTAGGGCTCCAAGCACATCCTGAGAAGGTGAATGGGTGGGTTGTTTGGGGAAATCAATGGGAAGTCTATATTAACTACCCTCTGAGGATCTGGTTGGAGGTCTAGGGGACCACCTGAGATGAATACTTACCGAGCATGTGAGGCATGAAGAACGCCTCTACCTCGAGGAGTGAAGAACGCCCCGCCCTGGGCCATCTGAGGACTGAAGCCAGTCCAAGTGTCCAGAGCTTAGCCCTGCAAAAGGGATCCAGGATAGCCGCTACAAAGACATCACACGATATCGGAACCCCGGTTTTGTCATGGGAAACACGAATCGTGTTCCTGCACGCCTCTCTCCAT